CTTGAGCCCAGGAGTTGGAGGTTGCTGTGAGCTGTGATGCCACAGCACTCTAACCAGGGGGATAGCTTGAGGCTCTGTCTCAAAAAAAAAAGTGTGAATTCTATGATATGTGAATTATACAATATGTCCTCTGTAAGTTGACTACCTGAGGGACTGCAACAAACTGGTCAACATATAGATGTGGTCAACACAAGTAACTAGACCTACTGCACTCATGTGGTACATGTCCAGTCTATGAAAATTAGGTCAACTTCAGGAGGTAGGTAGTTCAGGGAGGTGGGCAACTGTGGAGGTTCCACTGCATTTCAATAAAGCTGTTATTTAAAAAGATAAATGGGCTTGGTGTCTGTGGCTCAGTGGTTAGGGCGCCAGCCACATATACCAGAGCTGGCAGGTTCAAGGCCAGCCTTGGGCCTGCTAAACAACATTGACAACTACAGCAAAACAATAAATAAATAGCCAGGCGTTGTAGCAGGCACCTATAGTCCCAGCTACTCGGGAGGCAGAGGCAAGAGAATCACTTAAGCCCAAGAATTTGAGGTTGCTGTGAGCTGTGACACCATGGCACTCTACCAATGGTGACATAGTTGAGACTCTGTCTCCAAATAAATAAATGGTGGTAACAGCTACAAGCATCATACTCAGACGAGGCACTTCCCCAGAAATACTCCCTTCATGCCTCACTGATGGACATGTCCTTTCCTAAACCAACCACTAGGAAAGGAAATGGGAATATTATAACTAGATTAGAGAAATCAGAATTTAGCCCCTGTCCTATATGGGTAAAGTTATGGGCTGTTATGGATGTTTCTCCACAAAATTAATATGTTGAAGCCCTCAATTTGGCAAGGAGTATAAAAATGAAAAGCCTATAGAGTAAAACCTTGTCAGCAGACTTTTGCAAGAAACCAAGTAAAAAAATGTTAAGAGCCTGAACCAGGGCTGGGGTAGGTGAAGTGCACTGGGAGACAAGAGCCATTTAAACAGACTCCCAGGACTTGGTAAAGACAAGTTACAGGTGATTCTTCTCCAACATGGCACTCAGTACAATGACAATGAATCATTCGTTATCTCCCTCTTCCCTGATGACTGTGAACTCCTACATCTACACAGTGCCTACAGCAGGGCCCAGAAGATAGTGGCTGCTTAATAAATATTTGTCAAAAAAAAGAAGACAAAAGGGAAAGAAAACAGAAAAAAAAATTCTGCATTTCTAGTTTGAGTTAGCTACAGATATAGTCCTACTGAGTATCCAGGGACTAGAGCAGCAGGAGCAGACTGTAAACAGGGAAGAAGTTTGGGGCAGCGCCTGTGGCTCAAAGGAGTAGGGCGCTGGCCCCATATGCCAGAGGTGGTGGGTTCAACCCCGGACCCCAGCCAGAAACTGCAAAAAAAATAAAAAGGGAAGAAGTTTATATAAATATGTAAGAAGTTTAACACGTGCTATTAGGCCATGATACATGCTATGTGTAAAGAAAACTCCATAAGAACTCTATTACTATCTTATCCAATGTGTATGTGAAATCATACAAGAACAACAATTCTGACATACCAGGAGAATTACTATCACCATTCACATAGGAATTCAAACACATTTTTAAATATTAATCTTTAATCTTCTTAACACATTTGGATGGCTAAGAATGAGAAAAATGAGGACATAGGCCCTAGGCTGCTAATGGTACATCTGACGGGAGCTTAAGACTAGCACCTCCGTGAGGGAGTAGGGGAATCCTCTGTATTAATACATTTTGTAGCTTTCAAAACCATTGAGGCTTTCCCTTTCCTTGCTCTCTTTTGCTGTCAAATATCTGTTTTATCCTAATTTGGTTTTAAGATAAAGTATCTACAGTACTTTCTTTTAATTAAATGAGAAAATGCACAGAAAGCACTAAATTCAGCACCTGGTACACAATAAGGACACTATATATGCTTGTCATTGTCACAATGACCATTATTACCATCGTTATACTTCCTACAACTACTACCCTGTTAAACCAACACAAAGTCAGACAGATGGTACAGCAAGTCCTATAAATAAAACACAGGTAATAGATGCATTTACCTAATATCGCCCTCCATGACCTCCTTCCCATACGGTTCCCTCTGCCTTTTCATACACTGCTCCTACACACTAAAACACTTCTAACTTTTACTCATTCTTAAGGGTGCTTTCCAAAAGTCACTTTTTTCAGCAATCTTATCTCATACCCTGGTTAAAAACTCTCACTGCTGCCAGAATTGGGCAGGGAAAAAAAAAAAAACAAAACACTGCTCACAGGCCTCTGTATTTTTCCTTCATGAGATTTGTCAAAGTTTGTAATTATATACTTGAGTGTCTATATGCCTCATGAGGTAAAGAACATGTCTTTTACTCACAATCAGACCCCCAAATACCCAGCAAACAATTCAAACACATAAATTACACTCAGTAAATTTAAATCCCAGACTTGGTCTGTACCTGACCAACTCCTAACTTACACCTAAATATTTCTTTCTTCATTGAATCCAAAACGAAAGACTACATATAGACATTTACAAAAACTCTATCCCAAAACTGGCTTAGAGGTTTTTAAAACACAGTTCTCAAATTCCATGGTAAAACAAAACATTTAAGACAGTAAGAAACATAAGTTTAGATTCTTTAATTAATTAATTAAAACTTTAACAAATAATCACATTAATAAAAATCCTTTAACATCTATGCTAACTTTTAAGAAACACTATAAACTATTAGAAATTTGAAATTTTCATTTTTTAATCCTCTTGGTAATTCTTACCTTGACATTTCCCAATAATAGATGTAAATTCATCTTTTGCAGACCTGCAAAATATGTGCAAAACCAAGACAATAGTTTTATCATAACAATACAATTGTGCAGGACTATACAGCACTACAGATACTGTAGTTTAGACAGTTTCTATATACAACATTAAATCATCCCTTCTCTCAGAGATGGTTTTGTACCACAAAGAAGGCACGTGTAGGGCCATGCATGGTGGCTCACACATGTTATCCCAATACTCTTGAGAGGCCAAGACAAGTGGATCCCCTAGGCTCACCAGTTCGAGAGCAGCCTGAGCAAGAGCGAGACCATCTCTTTAAATAATAAATAAATACATAAAACAAATAGCCAGGTATCTAATATAGTCCCAGCTACTCAGGGAGGCTAAATCAAGGAGATTGCTTAAGCCCAAGAGTTTGAGGTTGCTGGAAGCTAAGACACAGGCACTCTGCATTCTATAGAGGGCAACAAAGTGAAACTGTATCCAGAAAAAAAAAGGCCCTTTTATCAGTACAAGGATTTTCTTCCAATCTTCTTACTGCATCAGAAATATAACTACACCAGGAATACATAAGTGAGTTTAACTCTGACTTTTAATAAATAAAGCTATCTGACCCCCAACTCCAAAAGTTCTAATTCAGCAAATCTGAGACGGGTCCCAAGCAAAAGTAGTCTTTACAGCCCCACGGGTAGCTCACAGCAATCTCAAACTCCTGGGGTCAAGTGATTCTCTTGCCTCAGCCTCCCGAGTAGCTGGGACTATAGGCACTCACCACAATGCCAACTAGATTTAAAGGTTGAGGTCTTACTCTGGCTCAGACTGGTCTCAAACTCCTGAGCTGACAATCTACCTGCCTCGGCTTCCCAGAGTGCTGGAATTACAGAGTGAGACACTGCACCCAGCCTCACCTAAAATCATTTAATAAACATTCTCCTTTCACAGGAAAAGGATGAAAATAAATTTTATCTACTAATTTCTGTTTATAAGTAAGTCACACTGATACCGGATTTTTGACTTTGGATTTCTAGGCTCTTGGTCTCAATGATTCGATGAATGAATCAATGGACTACAGGATGGGCAATAAGTTAGGTTTTATTTACAAAGGTATTATTACAGCTCTGACAAAGAGCCAAACCTTGCAGAACAGGATAAGATAAGTTTTATAGTGTCACAGCTCTTACAAAGAGCCAAACCTCCTTGCAGAGCAGGATATAGGTGTTACAGCTCTTACAAAGAACCAAACCTCCTTGTAGAGCAGGATGCAAGTGTTACAGCTCTTACAAAGAGCCAAACTTCCTTATAGAACAGGATCCAAGTGTTACAGATCTTCCTCTTTCTCCCTCAGAGGTCTGCGTCAGTCTTTAGCAAGACTTTAGCAGTCTTGCTTTTCTGCTCTATCTCCCTTGAAGGTCTGCGACGATTTGCCCCTAGGCTCTCTGCTCAGGGGTTTATATAGGGTCAGTTGTCCAGTGAACTGAGAGCTTAGCTGATTGGTCTATAAAATAGACCAGTCCCGAGCAGGATTGAAAATGGACCAATCGGGAAGCACTAGAGGAATCGCCAGTGTTTTCCCCTGATCGGCCTGGTCGTCTTTGTTACTGGAGCCTCTGGTGGGAGAGGAAAGCTCCCCCTTTGGCTCCAGCCTGCCAGTTTCTGTGCCAGCTGCTGCCCAGGCAGAGCCAGCAGGTCCTCTAGCACTGCTCTACTGGAGCCTCTGGTGGGGAAGGGAAGCTCCCCACTGCTTGCTCCAACCTGCCGGTTCCTTTGCTGGCTGCTGCCACCAAGACAGAGGTGGCAGGTCCCCTAGCCCCGCTCAGCTGAACTGGCTGGGACGCCACTTTTCCGGTATCAACATCATGAGCACATTTCTCAAAAAGATGCATTCACATTACTGTAACAAATGGAATAAGAAGTACTAGCCCATTCCTATGAACAATGTGAATTCAAACACTGGGACAACCTGATGCTAATGATGCTGTTGAAAAACAGAGACCTGACTACTAAAGCCAGGTCAAATTAAGTCATTTAGCTTGAAAGGCTGTTATCACTGCCCATCATTTTTACTCCAATGGCTTAAAAGGATTTGAAATGCTTAGATGAAAGCAAACATTCTGTCTACTCTCTAAAATATTGAGAAGTCCAGTTCCATGTGGATAAATGAAAATGAGAAATATCACAAAAGAAAGCCAAAAACAGTGTGATTTATACAACTGAATGGTCATTAATACTATCTTTAGTTCAGAATAATGAAACAGGCCAGGGGTGATAAATCGCACCTATAATCCTAATACTTAGGGAGGCTGAGGGAGGAGGATAGCTTAAAGTCAGAAGTCTGAGACCAATCTAGGCAACATAGCAATACCTAATCTCCCAAAAAAATAAAAAAAAAATAAGAAATTAGCAGGGCATGGTGGTATGCACCTATATAGTCCCAGCTAACTCAAGAGAATGAGACAGAAGGATTGCTTGAGCCTGGGAGTTGGAGGTTGCAGTAAACTGTAATCACATCA